CATTGCTGTCAAATGTCCTGACCCTGCTACAGGACAATGGTGAAGGAGTGGTCTTGGCAGTCCCGGACCAGCAGGTACTGGCAGATGCCACTGAAGGTGAAGTACTTGTTGTCAAAGCTCTTGAAGTGGGATTGGCCAGTGACCAGACATTCGCCTACAGGGTCACGGATAAAAGGGGCTGAGGTGGAACGTACATACAAGCAGAGAGTCTGCCCGCCAGAGCTCCAGGGGCTTGCTCTGCACCAGTTCTACCCAGGGGCTTGGCGCCTGTCCTACCCCTCCAACCACATGGTGCCCGAGCTGGAGCACCATGTCCAGTTTACAAATGGGGAAATAGGGGACGTGGCTTGTTCAAAGTCTCCCCGAGTCAGTGGCGCATCTTGGACTAGAACCCACACCTCCTGGGCCCCGTGTGCAGAAGCTGCTCCTGCCAGGTTCTGTGTTCCCACTGGGATCAGGGCCAAGCACAGGTAACAGTTGCAGAGTTCTCAGCCATGGAGGGACCTGTCGGACTGACTGCCTTCTCTGAGCTAAGGGCTGGCTGACACAACCCCGTCCTCCACCCCTCCACCCCTCTGCAGAGAGCTCTTTGATAAAGCCTAGGGGCAAGTGGGCAGAAAGGACAACCCAGGGGCAGGTGGCACGGGAGGTGTGAAGCCAGGAAACTCGGAGTCTCAGTGGGAGAGAGTGGACTCCATCAGCATGCCCCCTCTGCCGATAGGCGGCTCCCAGACCTCCTCACAGGCAAGCCTATGCTGTGACCTCAGCTGGGCCAATGGGGGCCCTGGAGGCCATCTGCCCATGATCTCACCACCGCCTGGGCACTGCTGAGTTCTGCAAGGCCAGCGCCATGCCATGCTGTGGTGGGACGAGAGGGGGGCGGGGGGGGGGGGGGGGGGCAGGCAGGACTCCTCTTTTTCATACCCTGCAACTCAGAGCACTGAACTCCTCCCTCCCTCCCTGCTCCCCCCCACCCATCATCCTCCCCATCTCCAGCCCAGACTCTGCACCTCTGGCTTGGTGCACCTCAGACCAGAGATAGCACATTGGGAAAGTGTCCCTGCACATCAAGGTCCTTGCAACGCCTCCAGAGATTCCCCAGCAGCCCTCCCCCAGCTCAGGGCAACCCCATCCCCAGGGCCACAATGGACTCATTGACGCTGAGCCAGGCATCCAGGGCACTTTCCCACCTCCCCTTGTGTGTTTCCTCTCCCTGTTCTCATCGCTGCCTTCTACATTATAGGAAAAGGAACAGACACACAGCCCATGGGGACCGTGGCAACCCACGGGGACCACAGCAGCTCCACGCAGACCACGGCAGACACATGGGGACCATGGAAAGCCAAGGGGACCACAGCAGCTCCATGTAGACCATGGCAGCTCCATCAGAGGAAGCGGCTAGTGTTTCAAGTGGACAGCTTCCCAAATTATGGAAACTGTGCTGTTCCCACATAAAACAAGTTTTCAAGGAAGACTTCAAAGATAAACCAAGAGAAGAGTGTCAACGTGGGTAACTGAAGTAACTGGCTCAGGTCCAGAAATGGGTGGAAGATGACCATACAATTAACACTGATGCCGTGTCTACTGAAGTTGGGACCCCACAGTTTGGAATTTTCTACTTCATGTCAACTGCTTGGCCTCAGTAATCTTTGGATTTCATGGATGGTTAAAGCAACGTGCGAAGATGCGCTGGCTAAGAGAGCTTACTTACCCTGCCATCATTCATGAAAGAAATGTAGAAGGCAAAGGAGATGATATTATGGAAAGAATGAATCATCACTGGGGCCAAGTCATAGATATACCAATATGACCCAGAAAGCCAGGTCTAATCAAGACAGTGGCTTCCATGAGGATCTGCTGGACAAGTTACAATCAAGGCAAAGAGGCCAGCTCAGAAAGTGATGGCTACTAATTTGGGGGATTCCAAATCTTGATAGATTGTTCTCGAAGGACACGGAATGACCATAGGGGCTTACTGCAAAGAAATTTTAAGAAAATTTCAAACTGAATTGGTGGGGGAAAGGCCACTAAAATTATGCCAAGGAATTTATTTTCTAGTCGCAGCACCCTGCTCATCCTCCGAGGAGAGCAGCAGGGCTGTCCTGCTGGAGTGTGGTTGGGAAACCTCATGCCATTCACCCGATTACTTGAACGGACTGTTGGTCTTGGTGTAAAGTAAATGATGCAGATCCTCCACCCCACCCCACACACACCCCCCACCGCTAAAAGGCTAGAGAGATGGAGACACTACCTTCGCAAGTACATGTTCACAGAGAAAAGAAACAATAGCTTCATGTTTGGGTACTTTTGTTTAATAAAGCTGGCGATGGGTTGGTAGCAATATTTTTTGACTTACTCTCATGGGAAAATGTCTGTTCTTAGAAGCAGAAAATAAATCAAATAAAATGGCTCATTTACAGAACATTACTACTGTTCTGTAAACACCAGGTCATTGCTGTCAAATGTCCTGACCCTGCTACAGGAAAATGGGTGGGGCTTCTTCCCCCAGCCTTTCTGTTTTCTCAGGAGCACTCTTATCTGAGCAAGAAGTTGAGCCCCTCTAACCTTATCTTTGACAATGCCCGGGAGAAGAGGGGTCAGGGAGAAAGCGTGCAAAGATCCGGAAGCGAGACCGCCAGGCCTGGGATGTAAGCCACCAATCTGAGCTCCCACTCGGACTCCCACCGATTGGCATCTCCATAAATCAGAAGCCTAGAGATCACATGGCACTTCTTATCTCTGTGGTACACTCACACTGGGGACAGCACTGCGGGCACAGGAAACCTGGGGTCCTGGGTGGCTGAGCTGTAGAGTAGGACGGAGCTAATCTCAGAACTGGGGTGTGAGCCCGCTCGACAGGCCACGTGGCAAAGCCAACAGGCTCTCGGCCTAGAGAGAACCCCCCACAGCGCCAGCCCTCACCCCGCAGGCAGCAAACGGACACGGAGATTGGTGGGCGCACAGAAAGCAGAAGCAAACACAGCGTGGGAGAGGCAGCCGTCTCCACAGATCCAGCCCCGCGGCAAGAAGAATCTCCCTCTTCTCTGGTGGAGGCACACAATCACTTTCGTTGCAGTCAGTGGGTCAAGTCATCATCTTCCACTCTTCCACTTCGAGCTCTTAGCACAGCAGCGCAGGCTTCCCCCCAAGGTAACAGGTGAGTGAAGCCACCACGGACCCTCCGTGCATTTCTCAGGTCTCTGCAGCCACCCTCTCCTTGCTGGGCTCATCCTCATTCCCCATGTGAAATGAAGGCAGAGAAGTTAAAGCACTCGTCCAAGGTCCCCAAGCGGTCACCCGAGATTTGAACCTGCGGAGCCCTCCCTGCAGTACAACAGTCAGGCTCTTGGCTGCTAACTAAAAGGTCAGTGGTCCAAGCCCACCAGTGGTTCCCGTGACAGGGAGACCTGGTGACCGGATTTCATCAAAAAACCCACAGCCCAGGAAACCCTGTGGGGCAGCAGTTCTCAGAGTCCAAGTGGAGGGAGGGCGGCTGCTAACAACAAGCTCGAAGGCCTCGTGCAGCCTCATGGCCAGACTGCCTAGGGCCGTGCCTGGCGCCATCCTGTCCCAGGTGCTGGTGCACATGGGGCACACAAGGAACAGAGCACAATGCAGCTGCATGGAGAGGCTGTCGAGGAGACGTGCTGCCCGGGCCTGAAGGGAGTCTGAGCCCCAATCTAGGCCAGGGCAAACTAGAGGTACTTCCCATCACCCTGGGGAGTCAGAACCCCCCGGGAACCCCGGGCACCTGGGAACACAGGTGCAGGTGGGAGAGGCATCCGCCCTGGTTTACTACCCCCAGCCCCTGTTGACCAATGATTATCGTCCAAACAGAGGGAGCTTGGATTCCACAGTTGAGTCACAGGACCCGAGACTGGAACTTACAGCAGCAGTCAGGCGCAGCTCTCCCCCTTCCCTCCAGGTAGGGCGACTGGCCACACACACCTTCAAGTGCCAGCTCCATCTTACATTCCTGCTCCCCCTGCCCAGCTGGGCCCCATCCCCACTCCACCAGCTCTCCGCCAGCCTCTGCCCCCCTTGCTCAAGTGCCCGGGTCTCCATCCTCCTCAGACTCTGCTCAACCCAATAGCCCCCTCTGTGCTCTGCAAAGAGGGTACAGCTAACATGCTCTGCACCCCGACTGTGTGTCAGCCCACCACAGCCTCCCGGCTGCCACGTGACGGGGCTAGTGCTGCCAGCCCTATTTACAGAATAGGAACCTGAGGTTTGGAATGAAGGAGCACCTTGCCAAAAGCACGCAACTGGGAGAGTGGGATTACTACCCACAGCCCCCGTCCTTTGCCTCCTGGATATGCTGATAGGATTGGGGTCGAATGGAAAGTTCTCGGTTCCCATCTTCCCAGCGCCAGACAAATCCTTCCCAGACCCTTCCACGCCCCAGCCCCAGCCCCAGGCCATCCAGCTGACTCCCCCTCACAGTGACCCTCTGAGACAGGAGGACTACCCCCGCAGGGTTTCGGGGGCACACACTCGCAGATTCCCGAAGGGAACTCCAACACAGGAAATGCTCTCTGCGGAAGCTGCTGCATTGTGTTGGCAATCTGTTAGACAGCACTGGAGAACCAGCCCATTCCCTCCTTGTTCCATGGAATCAAAACCCAGATCTAGGTTCCTCAGACCCAAGGTCAGCTCCTCCAGGGGCCTGCACAGAACCCCTGGATAGCTCTATGCTTCCCTGGAAGAGCCAAGCATACCCACTTCCAGAAACTTCCCGCCCACTCTTGCCACCTGAAGTGCTACCTGCAGTCTCCCCCTGGTGGCCCTGCCTCTCACCTGAGGCAAGGTGCAGAAAGTGCATGTGCGCTTGCCGGAGTGGAAACTGGCTGCGAGGCTACCGTCAACTCCACTCCAGAATCAAAGGAAAGTGGCTCAGAGCCAAGGCTTTGACAAGATATCGAGGGCTGAGTGGTTTCACTGGCGAAACAGCAGGCCACTCAGCAAACCACAGAGTTGAAGCCAATTACCTTCCCATCAGGCCATCCAGAAAATACCCTGTGAACTCAGTGAGGCTGCCTTGAACACACAGGGCCTCTCCTGAGCTCAGGAAGGGACGGCAACGACTCTCCAGTGAAGGAGTGGATCGGGGCCTAGGAAGGAGAGGGAAAGCGCATGGGCAGAGGCAGGAAGCCTGTAGTTCTGAGTTCGAGTCCAGACTCCACCTCTTAGCAGCTATGTCACTTCCAACAAGTGACTTAGCGCCGCGGGGCCTTTTTCCTCTGTGTGAAGTGAGAACGAAGAGCGCCTGCCTCAGAGCACCAGGTCCAGCATGCGGTAATAGCTTGCTGTTTACCACCGAGGGGGAAAGGCACCAGGCGGAGAGCTGGGCTCACTGGGGACGGAGAATGAGCAAGGAGGCAGTGCAGCAGGCCAGAGCTGGCACCGCCCAGATGGAAATGGAAGGGCTGAAGTTTCAAGACAGCTTTTCCTAAGCACCTTCCCCAGGGCAGGCACGGAGGCGGTGGGAGGGGAGTGTGCAAGCTGTTTGGTGATCTCCTTTTCTTCACACTTGGGGCAGGCTAGGGTCTTCGTCTCACACACTTCAAAACACGCCCCTTAAAGCTTCCCTTGGGGCTCGGGCCCTTCTTCACTGCCATTTTGCACCGTGGGTGAGTGAGTCCCTTTGCTCAGTCTGCCGTGACCTGACAGCCTGGCTGCTCAGCCACCCTGCATCCTTTGAACAACGAGGCGCCGAGGAAAGAGCAAAGCCCGAGCCCAGGTGCACGCACCCCTTTCCTCTGCTGCCAGCCCCCCTCCTCTAGGCCAGGACCCAGTTAGCACAGCTGGTGTCTGAAACCAGAGCTGTGGTCACGTGGTTGCAGCCACACTGTGCAAAGGGGGCCTTCTGCCACACCCCCACCTTGATGTGTGGCCTCCCCATCATCCAGCCAGGTGGAGGGGTGGTTGGGGGAGAAGAGATGGAAGGAGCCGGAAGCCGCTTACCTGGACACTCTTCGTTGCTGCACACCCACAGGCTATTTCGGCAAATGCTGTTAGGGAGAGAAGTGATGTCACTGGTCATTCTGCAAAGTTCATGTTGCCACAGCCACAACAAGCCTGGCTCATGGTGAGCCCACACATGACCGAGTAAAACGGTCCCTCAGTGTCATCTTGGCTGTCATCTCTCTGGGAGCAGGCCGCCAAGCGTTTCTTCCGTGGCACCATGAAGTGAGTTTGAACCACCAACCTTTAGATCAACCCTCGAGGGTAAAAACACTGGGGCCACCTGGAAGGCTAAAAACTGGGGATGTGGTTGGGTTTGGAGTTCACAAAAGAGACCACAGCTTCTGAGGAAGGGGCCTGAAAAGAGAGAGTAGCTGATGCCGGAGGGCTGGCTAGGAGGCTAGCAGGGCAACGCAGGACAAGGTTTTGGCCACAAAGGAATCTTGGAGAGACTGCCGAGGGGAAGAAGCCCTAACTGAGAAGCACTGGAAGGAAGGGTACCTGGAAAACACTATGTCCCTGAAAAAAATCTACTGGGCCTTCAGCCCCCAGCGGCTCATTGAAGGGGAAGTATGTACGGTGCTAAAGCCTGCTCAGCAGAGAAGGGGCCTGGAGATGAAACGGAGAGTTATTTCCTGGGGCACGTGGGCACAGGCAGCCTGGCCACAGCAGGCATCCGCAGGGACTGCTTGAGAAGAGGACCTGAGCCTAGCAGTGACAGGGTCACAGGCTCCTCCCCAGTCCCCCTGAGTATACCCCACAAGGCCCTGCTGCTCCCTAAAACACAACAAGCTGCCCTCAAGCAGGCTCTGACTCATGGCAGCCCCTCAAGAAGATGGATGGACACAAAGGCTGCAACAATGGGCTTGGGCCGAGGAGCAACTATGAGGATGGTGCAGGACTGGGCACCGGGTTGCTATGGGTAGGAACCGGCCCAATGGCACCTAACGACAACATGGCGCCCCCGGTGTGCTAGTGTAGCTCCATCGGGTGTGCAACAGCCGGTTGTTTGGAAACAGATCACAAGGGTTTTCCCCCAAGGCACTTCTGGGTGGAGTTGAACCTCGGCAACTGAGCACATTAACTGCTGTCGCACCAAGGGACTCGCTGCTGCTGCTGTCGTTGTTATGGTTGTTGATAAATGCCACCAAGTGAATGCCGACTCATGGCAATTCCACATGCACCAGAATCAGACCCTGTGGTTCTAGGGGCAGAGTTTTGGGAAGTAGATTGCCAACCCTTCATTCCTAGCGTGTCCTTGCCAGGAAGCCTCAGTGCAACTTGCATCAGAGGAGCGCACAGGCCTCCGCTGACGGAGGCTTAGTGCCTGTGTGAGAGAGGCATTCCCTGGGAATCAAACCCAGGTCTTGCAGATGGACAGCCTGAACCACTAGTGCCCCTCTAGGGATTCCATGTTGTTCGGTGCCATAGATTCAATTCCAACTGGTAGCAACCCCAGATGACAAAGTAGAACTGCCCCCATAGAGTTTTCTTGGTCATATCTTTACAGAAATAGACAGTCTGGTCTTTTTCCCTCGGAGATGGTTGGTGCATTAGAATCACCAACCTTCAGTTACACACTCAAAAGAACTCCCGCCGAGTCAATTCTGACTCATAGCAATCCTGTAAGACAAGGTACAATTATTCCTGTGGGTTTCTGAGACTGTAACTGTACGGGGACAGAAAGCCTTATCTTTTTCCCACAGAGCCGTCAGTGGGTTCGAGCTACTGGCCTTGTGGTTTGCAGCCCAACATGTAATCCGCTGCACCACCAGGGCTCCCTCAGTTACAGCAGCCCTTAATCACTGTGCCGCCACCACCTAATGAAAGAGCTCAAGGAGAGAAGGAAGCGGGTGCTGCCTGGTGACTGCTGTATCGGCCCTCTTGGGCAGGAAAAACATCATGTTTTACAGCAAAATGTAAGGGAGAGCTAGAGCTGATTTGCACATAAAATGCTTCCCTTCTAGACCCCGCCCATCCTCCTGGTGTACTGGTAAGATAAGCCATGCTCTTTATTACAACCTTCAAGTCCTTAGGCAACCAAATACCTCAAGTCTACTCTTCCTGGGCCCAGCCCAGGCCCTGTCCCATCAGGGACTGCCTCTACTACCCTAGCCACTGGCCTGCCCTCCCAGTCTCCATTACCAGGTGTTGCAGTCCTGTGAAAGAGAGGAGCCAGGAGGGTAGCGCTTCCCAGAATGCACACAGGAACACTCGGCTGGCTCCACACATCGATCTTCATCAAGTAGCTGCCCATCTGGGTTCAAGGACACCAAAGCAGAGGTCTTAACATTGTCCTCTTGTCACTACTCACTTCACAAGTATATAATCCACACAGGTGGCCAGCTGCTTCCAGGAAACTCACCAAGAAGTTCTGGGATGTTTACTTTTCACATGAATTAATATAAGCGAGAGGTTATTCACGCTAAAAACATTCAGAAAAGGGCTGAGTTTAGGGTCATCCACAGGGGAACACTTAATTCTGGTTAGGCTTGAGTTTTCTTCCTGTGTTCCCAGGAAATCAGAGGGGATTAGCAATCTCCATTATGCAAATGAAGAGATGGGCAAGGGAGTTCTGTGGAAGGCTTTCCAGTAGGGAAGTCATGAGTCCAAACACACAGGATGATTGAACAAGGAGTTTTCACAAAGCACATAAAGTCTCTCTTAAGAAAGACTCTAGTGCAAAGCTCTCTTTCAGCCGAGTTCCCTGGGCAAATCCAGGAAAGCTTTGTAAATTCTCTCTCCCACACTGGTTCCCTGCCACCTAACTGGGGAAAAAATAAAATAAAAACCTTGTAGCTCAGACTGGGCCACGTGCTGCCCAGACAAAGTCACCGTTGGAACCCAGACCATTCTTCCAGTTCCCCAGACAGAAGGGCTCTCATGGATACAGTACAGCAGGAAAACATAAATTCAAAACAGATACCAGCTCAATCCTGATCAGTTTATACGAAGACTTGGGGGGGGGGGGAATAAATAGAAGGCCTCTGATTTTAGCAGAGGGGCACAAACACAAGTGGCCTTCATCTCGCCTCCCAAAGCCAAGGGCACTGGCAAGGTCCTGGCTCCGTAAATAAAGTGGTACGTTTATTACCAGGGCAGCTGCAGCCGTCAACACACTGCTCCTGACACACTCCATTGATGTGCAGGCTCTGGCAGGTTCTGGTGCAAGGGGACACACACTCCGTATACTCCATGCCAGCGGGGCAGGCCGGTCCTAAAATGGAAAACCAAAGTCACTTCCCCCCACTGGTTCTCCTCCATTGCAGAATCTGATAAACCACACTCATATGCTGAGCCTCTAGGCCCACTTTGTGTACTGTACGGGCTGTCTCCACCCCAGGAACCAACACACAGTCTTTGAGGCCCCCTCACTGCCCAGCCACTCCTAATCTGAAGGCCACCTTCCCTCTTATGAGGTCCTGGCTGGGACACACCCATGTCGCCTAGGACCACCCCTCCTTCCTAGGTCATCTGTCCCCCGTTAACAATGTGACATTGCCTTGTTCTAAAACCCAAATCTCCTTCATGGTGAAAGAAAACCCCTCATGTTGAAGAAAGACAGTTAGCAATGGTGTCCTCCATGAAACCCATCCTCAGAAGGATGCTCTCCCCCTGAAACTGACCCTAACCCAATGGCCTACCTTGCAGGGGCAAACTCTGTTCATGCCCACTTTCTCTGCATAAGGACCATTCATGCTGCATTTGTTTCTACTCTGCTGCAAGAATACCTGCAGGATCCAACCACCTAAATGTCGACATAGTCTCTTCCACTGGACCCATCTCTTCAAGACCAAGGACTGGGACTCCTCTTTTCTCTTTACTTCATGGCCAGCTGGTACTCTAGCGGCCTCAAAGGCCAGGTCATACCAAAGCTCTCTTCGGGGGCTTCATGACACCAAACAATTGCCCCTAAGCATCTTCACCTTCAAGAGACATCAACTATGTCCTCAACCCAACCTTAAAAACAAAAACTTCCCGATCCACCTTTCTTTTGTTGTTTTCCATACAGAGGAGAAACCAACTGCTAATATTCACCTTTCTAATACTCCCAAGGCAAAGCTGAAAAGCATTATCAGCGGTTTGCTGCGAATGGAAAAACATGTGTGCAGTGTAAATATTTTGCCTGCTCCCTTGCCTCTGTCGGTCTGTGTTTTTCTGCGTGATTATTCCAAACGGGTTGTCCATCTGCAGGCTCTTCATCGGTGAAAGGCTTTGGGTGAGAGCTCTCTCAGGTGTCCAGAGGCCCGACTTAATCACAGTAATTTGGGGATGGTGACATTCATTAGGGACCCAAGGAGATTAGAAGGGTCCAAAAAGCACCTCCCGAGAGCCCGGAAGTGGCGGGGGGGGGGGGGGGGGGGTAGAATGTGTTCAGCCTGGAGGCCAAAGGGCTGATTTAATAAAAGAGAAGAACTTAATAAACGCTTTCCGGCCTCTGAACGACCGTCCCCCGGAAGGCTGAGCCAACTCCCTGGGCCTCTCGATTCAGACAGCAGGCCGGGAAGACGTCAACTGGAACTGCAAGTGCCGAGATTCGGGTCCGAAGTAGGGAACGTTTTGCGAGGCAGGAAAGAGGTTCCTTTCGTGACAGAGGTCAAAGGGAACTTGATGGGGTGACGTGCCGCGAGAGCAGAGCCGGACAAAGGCCCCGGGGAAGGCCATTCAACCGTGGCCACTCCCTGTCTTTGGGGGAGCGGTCACTGTCAAGGGCCAGCTCTGACCCCACCAGGGGGCAGAGGGCAGGCTCCTTCCAGGCCCCGGACTCCAGGAGCATGACAACTCTGCAGGGCCCTGCTGAAGCCCGGGGGATGTGGCAGAGGCAAGCAATGCTGGCACAGCCGTGCCGCTTCCGGAGGGGCCCCTGCTCTGCGCGCCAGGAGGCGAGCGGCGGGCGGGGAGCTGACTTACGGCAGGTGCTGTGCTCAGTCCAGCCGTACAGCACGACGCCCTCCCGTGCGCAGGCGCGGGCGTACTCCTGGAGCACGGCGCACGCGCAGTCTCTGCCCTGGGAGCACGCGCACCGACTGCTCTCGCACAGGGCGACGAAGGGCTCGGGGTCCACCGAGGGGTGGCAGCGGGCGAACACCGAGGCGCTCTTCAGGAGCTGGCATCGCTCCCACAGGCCCTGCGGAACAAGATGGCCTCGTCAGCCAGGGGGCCCCCCTGCCCACTTCGCCCCTGAGCTCGTGGCAGCGGGGGATGGCCGAAGTCCTCCAGGATAACAAAGCAGACGTATGTATGCATGTATGCTCCGGACACCAACGGGGTCGTCACTGCCCTCCCAGCGCGTGGCACGGTCCCTGGCACCCAGTAGGTGCTCCTACACATGAGTTACGTTAATCAAGCCATCCATCAAAGGAAAGACCCCGGAGTCGTGCTCTGTGAAGTGGACGAAACTAAGGTTACATCCTGCACTCGGGCTGGAATGCAGCTTCTTGGGCCCCGAACTGCTTGGCAGGCGGTGCCCGATGAAAGGTGAGAGGGAGTACCAGCAACCACAAAAGCTCGGCATGGCGTTGCTCAGCCGTCATGTTTGGTTTCAGAGCCCAGCAATACTGCCCCCCAACAGTTAGGCATTACATAGTCCCCTCCCCTGCCTGACCTTGATCTTCTCACTGTGGGCGAGAGACCAGGCTTTAATGGACTCCAGGGTTTTGTCCCTAGAGATTGAAATTCAGTAAATTGGGGGTACGGGTTCAGCAGTACGTTTTGTTTGTTTTTGTTTGGGGGGTGGGGGCTCACGTTCCAGATGATTCCTGTCTTCGCCCAGTTCCCATCAGCAAAACCATGCTACGGTTCTAAGTATCCCAGAGATCCCAGGTTTTATCCGTGTGTTGATAACCCTCAAGCTAAGAACCAAAGGCAGGCTTGCAATCAATGACGTTTCTTACTCCTGCGAACTCCTGAGCATAAATATCGCTGTGTGTTGTTGTGTATTGTATTTATAACTATCTCTAAATTCTGGTTTCATGATTCACAATCAACATCCCCCCCTCTCCCCCACAGGTTTAGCATCTCAAGTTTGGATGCATCTGATAACCAACAACACGTTAGTATCTTAATAAGTGACTTTATTTTTGTTGTTGAGAATATACACAGCAAAACCTACACCAAGCCAACCGTTTCTGTATGGAAGATTCAGCGGCATGCGTGATAGTCTTTGTTTTGAGCCCTGCCAACTTTTCCCACACTCCTTTGCTGTGTGTTGTTCCTCTGCCATTAACGTGAACTTCCTCCTCCATGAGTTTCGTGATCACATCAGAATTGAGTTGGCAGCGCTTTCTCTCTTACTTAGCGGTAGGAGAAGGATGATAAACCATAGAATCAACAACGTCTTAGATCTGACACAACACAGTATTACCCATAGGAATACAGGGAGCGGGGGCAGGGGCAGTTTTGCACCTTTTTTGCATGCGTATGCATGCTTTCCTGGGAACCAGCAATGAATGAAAAGACAACTTGCAGCTTCAAAGAAAGAAATAAAAGAATCTCTACATGGAAAATCAAATCGGTGTTCCTAGGGGGAGAATAAAAAGAGGAAAGAAATGACCAGTTTTGAGACAAGAAACCCGGTGTGCTCAAACTGGACCAAGAGCCCTCAGAGCAGTCCCAAAACCAGGTTCATAATCCATGGCACTGTGGAAAGTACCCAAAAAAACCCAAACCATACCCCCACCGTTGAGTCCATCTGGATTCATAGTGACCCTACCTATAGGGTTTCCAAAGCTGGAAATCTTTCTGGGAACAGAAAGCCTCGAATTTCTCCCTTGGAACAGCTGGTAGATTTGAACGCCCTTCAAGCAGATAGCAGCCCAGTCCCTAACCCACAGCGTCATAGAGGAATAAACATTCAACCTGGTGTTCATCACCCACAAGAAACACCCGGCGCCACCACAAAACCCTGTCCTGCCTACAGTGCCACTATGCTACACTGGGCCCTCGAATCTACATCAGACCAGGCAAGCAGTGCAAAATGTCAGAGCTGCTTCCAGACAACAACAAACCTGAGTAGGCCTGGGCGGTGGCCTCAACAGATTGGACTTGGACCTGGCCGGTTCCTTCCCCACTTTCAAAGGCAGCGGTGGGCCAGGGCTGTGGAGCTGCAACACTGCTGCAGGCCAGTTTGTGGGTGAGGATGGTTAGCAGCATCGCCCCCACCCCCACGCCACTCCGGGAGCCACTGCTGCTCCTGGTACTCCCTCTGTGATCCACCCTCGGAATTATCTCTGGCCAGATGGGAGACTCCACACCCATGGGGACTTCCTGGATGCTAAAAGCATAGGCTTAACCCCAGTGCAGTCACTTCCTGGTGAGAGGGACTTGGGCAAACCCTCTCACCTCTCTGGACAAGGGCACCCTCACACTGAGTGGAAACAAAGATCTGGACACCATCTCCCGCACACACACACCACACAGCCGGCAGGCATCGGTGCAGACAACTGCAAGCAGTTCTGTGCCTGCTTAGGCCCCACATGATTTCATTGCTCCTTCCTCTCGCCACCATTGGCATTTCGCACCGGAGGAAACCAAAAAAGTTTCCCGAAGGCAGTGACCAGGCAGTGACAGAGCTAGGCAGACCTAGCTTGACTCGGCCTTGTTGCAACTCTCACCCCACGAGCTGTGTGACCTTGACCTGTGACCTCAGCGAATGGAGGACAATAATAGTTCCTATATGATAGCAAGGATCGAAGGAGATATTGCACGTACATGGTTTGGCACAGTGCCTGGTGACCCCTTCACGTCATCACCATTGGTGTCCTGGCCACCAGAGCAGTCCCCTCTACCTTCCCTCCTGCCATTAAGCTCATCTTCCTGAGTGGTGAGCAGAGCACCAGCAGAACACCAGGACACATTTGTCCCTTCTCCCCTGTCTCCAGCTGCCTGGACCACACATCTCCCGGTCTCTGTGGGCAGAAGGGCCGCTGTGGTGAAGCTGTTACTTGGAAGGTGCACACTCCCCCAGAAGAGGGGAGCCTCTGCCATGTAATGAGTCCGACCGGCTCCATTCTCGCGGGCAATGTGGAGATTAAGTGGGGGAGGCTGAGGCCTGTGGCTGTCAGTCTCCATTCTCCCACCCCCCTGCCTCATCCGTAATGCCACTCAGGAAGTGAGGTCCCAATCTTCAAAGGGCAGCTGAGGGTGTCTCAAGAGAGGACCACATGCCCAGGCTCTGGCCTCACTTTCCCCCCACCCACCACTTTGAACTAGAGGAAAACTCAAAAAGGCAACTCCCCTGGGGTGAGGTGGGGTGGGGAGAGGAAGGAGGGCCTAGGGATCACTGTCAACCCCTGGGCTTAGAGCAGTCCCCCTGCCACAGGGCAACTCCTGTTGGGACAGGATCCAGGCCCCTAGCACATCTTACCTGACAGGACCCAGGATCAGGCAGGAAAAAGAAGAGACCCCAGGAGTGTAGCCACCACCACCACCACCACCCTTTTCAAAGAGCTGGTGGGCAGAGCCAGCACGGCCCATCTCCAGCTGGCCCCAGTCAACTCCCCCCGCCCCTACTCAAAGGAAACTGGGAGCAGCACTGCAACCCATCTCCTGGGAGGTTCCTGGAGAAATTAAATGGTTTACAGAAAGCCTCAGCAAGAAGGGTGTTTTCTGCTTATTTGCCTGCAGGATGGGAGTAGACTCTGAAAAACAGTCACCGCCCTCTGAGATCTCCTTTGGCCTCCAGCGTGTACCTGGGATCTAGCAAGGGTCCTTATCAGAAACAAAAGCAAAGGCCTGGCATCCTGTCACCCGAGTCTCCCTGTCTTCCCGCACCTTGACTCCACCTCCCAGAGTGACCACAGGCTGACAGCCAGGCAGGCCATCTGGACATTCCCAGCACCTGGAGCAGATCTGCCCGCCCCTGGCTGTCTCAACCCAGTGCCTTCCAGTCCGGCCATCTCACAGATCCACAACAGGCGGCCAGGCCGGGCCAGACCCTGAAGCCAGACAGTTCCGCACAGTTTAAGAGAGTGTCTACCTATTGTGCTCTCGGACTCAGCAAAAACATTGGCTGAACAAGAGTTGACTGAGTTGAGGATCGGCTAGGTCCCGCCAGTGTGTGCAAGTGAATTTGAAATGTAAAGCTAAGTCCCCACCCTATTTACAGGACAATGCCCAAGCTCATTGGGAAGACAGGGGAGGCCCTTCCTGATCTGACTCCAGCCGACCTCTCTAGTTCCACTCCCCTTTTCACACTTTACTGCTGGTCCCTGCAACACATCCTCCTGATTTATTCAACAAATATTTCTTGCATACCTACTATGCACAAGGCACACGGAATACAACAGCAAGTAGCTTGGCCTCAATCTTCATAAAGCCTCTTTCTCTTCCCATCCCCTCTGCCCTCCACATTGTCCCCTCTTTCTGCCCAGCTTTTCTTTCCAGGAAAGCTTTTCTGACCAGTTCCCCTACTCCCACCCCACTGGGTTAGATGCTTCCATTATCCATTGCTCTAGATGCTTCTCTCACGTTCCTGTTTTCCCAAGAACGAAGCTATGTTCCCAAGGCACACAGAGCAGCAGTAAGAAGTGCTGGGGCACAGAAAGAGTAAGTCATGCTCTTGGGTTCTTAGGGAGCTTTCCTTCGACCTGGGCCAGGTGTTCCCCGAGGGGAATACTCGCTCCCTGTTTAAGACTGGCTTCCCAGAGGTGGCCAATCAGAGTTGCAAGACACCTGCAGCCAAGATGCCAGGAAAGAGTTCCCAGGACAGCAGCAAAGTCTGAACAACGGATAAAACTGGGGCCGCAAGGCAGGAGTGTGGCTGAACCAGTCAGTGCCCACAGCATGACTTCAGGCAGGAGGAGAAACAGTCATTTCCACTGAGACTCCAGCTCAGCACTGCCACAGGCCTCCCGGGACAGACCCACTGCTGTCTGGAACGTGGTTCTAATGTGTTAGGGGCTAAGCTTCTCTTAACAGATGGTTTAAGACCTGGGCAAAGTCTCCTTGAATAAATCTCCATTTTCCACCTGTGTCAGATCTCCGGGTCCTTCCATAGGTTACTCCCTGCTTAGGAACTCGTGGTCATCCTCTCTAATTCCCCCCAGTTCACTTCTCCAAGGAGCAATTGATTTGATGAACAGGATTTTGTTGCTTCATCTAAGCCATGCATAACTTAAGAATGTGTCC